TGACTCAATTGAAAATGTTCTACTCAGGCTCAATGCATTTTTGAACTTCTCAGAAGAACTGGTTCTTATCAAAATATTCTTTCTTATACACACATGGATTAGAAGGTGAGTATGTTTCTTCACACAGTAATAAATCAGTTGGCTTCATACTCCATCGTGATTACATAGAGGTAATACTGATGTTAAGAGAAGAGGTCTTTCAATTAATGACTATAAAATCTTACTATGCTGACAGATAGTGACTGCAATAGAGGTCATGAGGAATTGATAACATGCATGAATGTTGAAACCACTGTGTTGCTTATGTGAAACCAAGGTAAGATTGTATATCAATGATACTTTAATAAATTTTTAAAAAAGTAGTCTTTGTCCCTAATATGGCTGGTCCCACATCTCAAGTTATTCTACAGAATAGGTGAAGTCTTCAGGACTGTCTCTGAATTTGTGCCCTCTGAGAGCCTAGTGTGGCAGGAAGAGTGCAAACTTTGAAGTCGTAGATGAGGACTCAAATCCTGGTTCCATCATTTCCTGTTGGCTCTGATTTTAAGCAAGCTTTTGATCCTTAGTTTCCTCGTCTGTAAAGTACAGATCAGAATACTTCATAGAGAATGGTCTTGTACATAGAAAGCAGTTAACATTTCCTCAACTTTGATTTCCTGGTAGTATATGGAAAGTCTTAATATTCTCACTTTTTTAGGCCCAGGGTTCTGGAGTGACTTCTCTGGGCTGAAAGGGCTGTATTGACATAACAGGTCTTTGGTTCTGGGCTAGGTATTTTCAGGTTTGCTGGACATGGATAGATTCCTGTCAGTTGTCTTACAGTCAATTCTAGATTTCAGGTTACTTCAACTTATAAGAATCCTTCTAATTTTGCAATTGCTTGCTTTGGGTCTGTTCTGATTTCTGCCCTAGGATAGAGTTCTAGGATCCTTGAGGATGAGAAGTCCTATTGTTTGAGCAGTGACAGAGTCATTCTTCTTTATCAGAATTGTTTTATTTAGTCAGAGGACTGCAAAGGTGAAGATTCTGCCCCAAAATATTTATTGTGCACCTACTCTGTGCCAAGCATTATTCTAGGAGCTGGAGATGCAGCAATAAACAAAATAGGCAGTCTTTTTGCACATGGAAATTACATTTTCCATTTTAATAGGGCAGATATATGAGGTCAGTATGACAGAATATATAAATAAATAATTGCATGGACAGGACAGTTTATTCACAGTGTAACATCCTAGGAGGAAACAAAACAATAATATGAATAACATGGTATGTGTACAGAGTTGAAGGGGAAACTTGATATTTATGGTCAGAAAAGCCCTTTCTGGGAGTACTGACATTTGAATCATCAATTCATTACTCTTATTCACATCCCTTCCCTCTGTCTTCAACACCCCCAACTTCCAATTTGCCAGTGAAATAATTGCTGCTTGTTGCTTAGCAGGAATTGTGGGTGATAGGAATTTGTAAGGGGCTGTTGATAGGACGGGCTGCTGACTTAACCAAATCTGGCTAAACCTTTCTTTGTCTCTTGGGAGTGGGACCACAGAGTAGAATCTGTCCCCTGGTAGGAATAGGTTCAGTGGAGGTTCTTTTTTTTATTTTTTAACTGCAAACTTGAGTATCAGGAGGAGCCTTCTGAGCTTATGCTAGAAAACAACAGTATGAAAGATTTGCTAGATCAAGGTCTGTGGGTAAAATTGCAATATTTCTAGAATTTCTTGCCTGGCCTTAGTACATCTCTCTATCAGTAGGTGTTTCCCAGGGGTGGAGAGAAGTAGCTCATCTTCATATCAATAGCTAAGTACAAAGTGGGTGGGGAGCGAGGGCGTACCTAAACTGGAGAGGTTTGGTGGTGTTCTTTTTGCAGCCAGGTCGCTAGAGTCACAGGTGAGTAGAAGTAGATGACTGCCTCTAAGCAATAAACGGGTCTCTCCCATTTTATTTCTCCCTTTGACTAATTTTGGCTTCAAAAGTTATTTGACCTGGGGTGGTAACATATTTTTGCCCTGGAGTTACAGGGTCCAACTATTTTCTTGAAGAAGAATAAATTAGACAACAGCTTTTATTAACAGACATCCAGGGCAAAGGATTCAGAGCATGGTGTGTGTGTGTTTGTGTGTGCACTTGCCTTCACTTGAGGGTGAGAGAGAAGGTTGCTAAGGGAGGGAAGAGATGAGTGCAACTGGATATCATCAAATTTAAACATAAAAAATTCTGTACACTTATGATTTCTGGCTTTTTGTTTTTTGTTTTAAAGATTACTGACTTTAAATGTAAGTTAGATGACACTAATTTTAATACTTTAAAAAGCAGATTACTCTCAGAATGGTACATACTAAACTTGAGGATGGGAAATCTTTGTAAATTATATTAATATCATAGAGGAAGATAATGAGTGAGATAACTGCAGTCCTATATTTTCTCAGAAAACACCAAGAATGGATTTTCTATTATGGAAACAAAAATGAAGCTCTGGAAGCAACTGTAGAAGATGAAAGTAAAACACAGTAATAGTTGAATATTTAAGAAAAAATGATAGCCTAAAATAGGTTATATTTGTGAGGATGCCAAGTAAAAATATTTCCTGTACAAGATAGTTGGTATTAGGAAACAAAATTTTACTAAGTTCATTTGAAGATCTAATTGGCTTTGTTAATTAATTCATGAATCGGGCAGCACCTTACCTACAAAGTGGAAAGATTTTTTAAGGAGGTGTACAAAATGGAAGGCTTTATAGAAAGGAGGTGGGGCAAGAAGTTATTAGCAAAAGAAAAGAAAGGGTTGGTTCAGGCCAGGACATCTTTTTTGGGAAAAAGAGAATAGCAGGTTACTATCATGCAGGTTACCTTTCTAGAGCTGATCAGAAAGTTACAGATTTGACTGCTAAAAGGTCACATTCCTCGGGTAGGGTGAAATTCTAATTCTTAATTTGAGGGGCAAGTGACTCCATTTTGGAATTGTTTCATTTTTTTTTTTAACAATGGGAATTCCCTGAACTAATGGAGATGAATATATATGGGTGTTTTAAGTCTGGGTGCCATTTTACTTCCTCTGTGGACTATAAAGGCAGGTGCGCTGAAAAATGAGTTTCCCTTACTGTCTTTTACGTATCAGAAAGCAAGCAAGCAAGCACTTAAATTGTGACTGCAGTTCTCAGACTCTCACTAGAGGGTAGTGTTGGTTCTAAAACCAGAGGTCGCTAGTCTATGGTACATTCATTACTGGTGTGCATTTATATTTAATGAAAAGGTAAAGTCAAGCTTTCTCAGTCTTCCCTAAAAGTTGGTAAAATGTGAAGTCTGCAGACTTCCAAGGACCTCATCCAATTCTATCTGCTTGCAGCCCCAGAGGAGCCAGAGTAGTGAAGAGATTACTGGAGAGTTAAGTGGCAGCTTCTAATTTCAGCTCCTGTACTAGGTAGTAGACAAGAAACTAAAGCTCTCTGGGCTTTCGTTTTATCTGTGGAATAAAGAGACTGTCCTTAGATGACTCCTTAATCTCGCATCTTCAAATTTCTGAGACTCTAACAACATTCTGGGTCTAATAGGTCAAAGAATTTCTCATGTTCTTGGCTCAAACTAGTAACATTTCAAATTACTAAATTATTAATAATTAAAATACATTTAATGTTATAAATGAGGTTTAATATAGATTCTAATATTAAGAAGACTTTAAATGAAAACATCTAGTCTTTTGTCCTACCAGGGACTCTCAGAGCCATCCTTTGTATCTATCTAAGAATTCTGTTTATGTCAGTGACTTAATGCATCATCCAAAGGTATATAGCTCTTCTTGGTTGCTAGCTTGCTGGAAATGGGCAAAATATGTTTACATAGGATTATCTAGAGAAAGGAGTTTGAACCATTATCAAATAGGAATGTTTTAGGATCCCTATCTGATACCCTCCCCCCACTTCATCTTGTACTTAGCCATCTGTCATCATATCTGTGCTTTGTTAGGAGTCACTCTCCAGAGGGATTTAGTTGGTTCAGTTTCCTATTAGCCTCACCTCTTTTATCAGATTCCCTGTCCTTTCGTATTTATTCACATTGCAGAGTGAACTGAGGATCTTTTCATGGAAGCTGAAGAAAATTTTTCAACTCCAAGGTCCCAGTAAACCCTTGGTTATCTGCATGGACTTGGCTTCTAAGAGCTGGCGTGAGAGCCTGCAAAATACCCCTGTTGAAGCGAAGCTGCACTCCAAACGCTTTGACATTAAAACCCAACACACCCTTTCCTCCAAATTGCATTATAAACGGTTTCCTCTTCCCTCCATCCCCTATTTTGTTGCATCGTCCCGCTCATTTCAAATTTGTGAACTTCCTAAAACCCACACGGAGCGCTTGAGTGTGCGCACACGCGTTCGCTTGCACCTTCCCTGGGTACTGGAGCGGGGCTGGGCGGGCTCGCGGCTGCACAACACATTCCATTCTTTGCGCTCGGGCACACCCCTTCGCAGTGGGGATTGGTCGGGCCGACCCCCTCTCCGGCGAGTCGAGGCTCCTAAGAGGCGCAGGCGCCTGCCAATCCCCACGGGCTGTCAAAACAAGTCTTCCCTCCCTGTCACAACGGAGCTGAGTGGAGGCCGCCGCCGCCGCCGCACTTCCTGGGGCCGCGGCGCCGCGGTCCGCGGACAGGTGGAGGGTGAGCTGGGCCGCGGTCCACAAGCCCCGGCACCTCTCAGGCTGCGCGCGCCCCCGCCTCCGAGGCCGCCGGGTCAGGCGTCGGGTGCCTTTTGTCTGGCGCAGAGCGGGCATTTCATTACATTTCGGACACCTCCCTCTCCTTCTCTCCTCTCCTCCCTCCCGCTCACAACTCCCCACTCCCGCCGCCGTCCCCCCACGGACTGCCGGCCTGCGGGATCACAGCCCTCGGACGTCTCTGCCCGAGCTATGTCTCCGCTCCAGAAAGTTGTCGCCGCCGCCGCCCCCGGGCGGTGAAACAAAGTGCGGCGGGGCCGCCTCCCGGTGCAGGAGCGCGCCCGTGCCCAGCGGCTGAACCCCGCCGCGGGGCGTGCAGTCTCCTCGCGGAGAGCCCGAAACGCTCCGGGCCATGGCTGAGGGCGCGGCCGGCAGGGAGGGTCCCGCGCCGCCAGACGCGGCCGCGGGCGAAGACGACGCCCGAACGGGCACGGACGCCGGCTCCGGGGACTGCGCTCCGGCGGCGCCGGGGGGCTGGTCGAGGGACCGTCGCAGCGGGGTCGTGCTGCCGAGCGCTGGAGGGGCTCCGGCTGATGCCGAGACCATCCTCCTGGAGGCGGCGCGGGCGACCCCCCGGCGGAGCAGCATCATCAAGGTGAGCGAGGGTTCCCGGCCCCGGGAGCGTGGGTGAGGGCGGTGGGGGTGCCGGGGACCCGGGCAGGATGTACGGTGTCTGGAGGCATCTCAGGCTCAGCATTGTTTTCTCCCACCTCCTTCATTACAAAACCTTCCTTCCTTGTCCGGAGGTTCCCAGGCTCAGTTCTTGGCGGTGAGAAGCAAAAGTGACTTTTTTTCCTGATAGCGAGGAAAAGTTCCGCGTTGCGTCTTTGCGTTTTGATGAATGCCCTCCCTCATTTTCTTTGAAAGCTTCACTAAACCGTTAATGGAAGGAGGAAGGGTGGATTCAGTGTGAATGCAGCCCCACGGGATGGTTGTGCAGTGCTCTCCAGAGAAAGGTTAGCTTCTTTTCCTCGCACAGAAAAGGAAATGCATAGCTTAACCTCACGTTAAAACAACCAACCAACCCTCCAGACTCAAACAGTCCCCAAATGCCAAGAACTGTGAACTTTCCCGGCAGGCAGTCAGAGTTCTTGGTGACCCTGAGGCAAAATAAAAAGCTATGGTGTAGCCCAGAGTTTTGCGTTGCAGAAAAGTGCGACCAGAAAGCAATCAATCCTCCAAGCATCATCCCGGGTCTTTGTGGTCACTGCCACATCCAGGGAAAACACTTTCCTATCTCTCAACTACTAGACGGGATTTCTTTGCATCCATTTGGAAGAAGTTGTAAGCCTCACCCCTCCTTTATCTCTTTCTGTCTTCCTTCCACTTGAGGCTTGTTTGCTGTTTGAGATTTCTATCGCTTGGGTGCATGACAACGGGGTAAGATGTCCTGGAAGTCAAAACCCTCCCACAGGCTTTGGACAAGGGCCTCTTAGTATAAAATAATGTGAATAATCATGTGTATATGCATGTGAGATTAAAATCCATTTTACTAGAGCAGTCAGTATAAAACCATGTATGTAAAAGCCAAAGATGGACTTTGAATTACTTACAATTCAATTGATGTGATGTGCTAATACATTCAAAACCCTTGTTCAGGTTTAAGTTGTGTAACCTCCACATAATGCAGGTCTCTCTGCAGATCTAAATTGGAGCTTCCAGCAGCAATGTGGGTAAACTGTGCCTACAGTACATCACCCAGCTCCAAGTATTGTCTAGGCTTTTACCCAGCACAGATATATGAAAGTTTAAAACCAACAGGGAGATTTCTATATTAAAAGAAGAGTGGGTGGTAGTTGCAAGTGACTAGTAGTAGTTTCTGTTTCTCTTATTTGTGACTTTTAGATTATGGGAAAAGGAGTATTCTGTTCTTTGCGTGAATTTGGATACAAAGGGAATGACCACTTCTTTTTCCCTTTTAACTCACAGGTCAGAAAGCATATTGTTTTGAAACTTGAAAAACATCACAATTAGGAAACATACATTTTGGATTCTAAGTTATTGGTACTGCATGTGGACCTGTGTGTACAAAAACAGGCACCACAAGATAGTTTAAAATATACCATCATAAGAGGCAGTGGGCTCCACAGTTTTGTAAATAATGAAAATAATGGATTGTAAGGAATATACAAATCCTTGCAACTGTATCTGCTATTTTTAAATTGTACTATGTGCTGGTTTATATTCTCAGAAGGGTCCTGCTGAATAATGTTTCCTCTTTTTTTGAAGTTTCTTTTTGTGACAAAAAAAGAGGGAGGCAACAGAGTATCAACTTGATCTTTTCCCTATTTAATAGAAAGTAAAATAAGTATTTAATAAATGGCATTTAAAGTTGTAGGTATTGGAGAATGAAGTGAATTTTTATTATTTTAAATTAGGTTTTATTGAAAATCAATATATACATATGATAAAAAAAAACAAATGTTGGTGAATGAGTGTGAAAGGAAGACTCCCAGCCATTCCACACTCTCACATACATAGTCCATCCCCACAGATGTTAATACTACTTATCCTTCCAGAAATATTCCATGCATATATAAAGCATATCAATACTTATCTATGAGGAACTATCGGCGTTCCTGATTTACATAATAAAATCTGGTTCAAGTTTTACAGGCTTCATATTTTCAGAGTTTCTCCAAACATTTCTGATGCCTAGAAGGTTGTCCAAAGTCATTGTGATGGGTCATTTAATCTTCAAGTATAATGTGGTAGGTCAATGATGGGCATGGGTTCCTAGAGGCCTTAATTTCCTTCCAGTGGGGAAAGAGGCAGGTAGTGGGCTCCGTTTCAGCCCCTCTCTGAGATCAAGGACGTTTTGTTGACATCTTGAATCTTCTGCCCATGGCTTGTTCACTTTCATGTAATAAAAATGAATTTCTAGAAAAGATCCATATCACATAAGAAATATGTAACACACGTCCTGTATTGAGATAAAAATCCATTCTTTGTAGTTTTTTCAAGAGTTCTTTTTTTTTGTCATTGAAACATACACAAAAAAGCCTTCAGTACATTTTATATTAATCAAACTATTAAATGCTGTTCTAAATAGCCTTAGTACAATAATAATTGATATTCATGATCATAGCATTGAGCCACTGAAAGATTTTGGATCATCAGATATTAAATTCTTTTCAGTTCAATTTAGGGTATTGCTTCTACTCTAATTATTTGACTGCTAATTCTCTTTAACTTGAATATTAGATAAATCAGAATAGTGCATTCCTCTCTCATGCCAGTAAACATTCTGCCTTGTATATTAATAGAAGGAATGTTTTCAGTAAATTTGCCTTCCTTAATTTGTGAAAACATGTGTTTAGTTGAGAAAACAATTTCCTTCTGTGCTGATGAACACAATGACAGTAATTTTCTTTACATATCTTTGGAAAGTCTTTCTACTAACTGTTTCTTCTCTTATATGCCCAGTCCTAAATTTTATAAAATTTAATGTAACTATGCTCTCTTTAATCCATCCATTTTTTCCCCTGTGTTTTTCTGTGTGATTACTTTCAACATTGACATTGATAAATGTTGCATGTTTTTGGTAAATGGATTGTTGCATATGGTGATTCTGCAACAGACTCCTTCTTCTTGGCTTCTGGATGATTTGTGGTTTAAAATAAGTTAGTTACATGCAAGATGATAATATCTAACAATTACGTACCTGTCTGCATTTGAATGCATTTTTACTTAAGAAATTAGATCATTTATCTAATCCTTGATAACAAACGTGTAGTTTAAAACATTTCAGATTATAGTTTATAGCTCTGTAACTCTGTAGTGTGCTTAGAAAGCAGTGTAGCTTACTCCCTATGCTAGATGATGGGCACTAATACCCATACATGCTTTCAAAATAGTTGATTTTTCTTTCATTATATGTAACATACTGAAGGGTTCTACTTTTTTCCTTTTGATTCTATGCAAGTATGAATTCTCTAGGAGAAATGGACATAGGTATGTGGGATGAAGATAAGAGGTGGGTAAGAGGTGTTGTGACCATCATGGAAGCAGTTTAAGTAATGGCTTCGGTGTTTGTATCTCATTATTTTAGGTCATGGCCAGTCTCATTCTTGTCATGCTCATTGTGGGACTGCTATAGTGGGTTTCTGAGCTGCACCCCTAAAGATGCACCTTGGGTACCTGCTGACCCATATCAAAATTATGGCTCTCCTCAGACTGGCAAGGAAAATTTATTCACATTTAGACAGTGCTGCCTACTGTTAATCAGATGCTAAATGAAGAGCTTTCATACATTATATTACTTAATCCCCTGGAGAAACTCTGAAGTGGAGAAGGGTGGCATAGAGAACTACTGATATAATGTGCAGTCAGGATCTTATCAATTCTCCTTAACTGCAGAACTTGTGGTCTCATTCTGACTCTCAGATGCAGGAAGTCCACAATCCACACATACTTTCTGTTGTAGATACAACATGAACATAAAAGAGAGTGGCAGAAGAATCTGAATCTTGGGCCATAAGGCTGGTGGGCCAAATTATTCATTTTTTGTCCCCCTTCTTTCTTTGCCCTTTCTGAATGACTCTAGAAAGGGATTGCAAACTTTCCTGTCTTTGGTCATTTTGTTAGGCCTGTATTTTATTTTATTTTATTTTATTTATTGTTATTATTTTAATTGACATATAGTTGATATAAAATATTATATTGGTTTCAAGTACAACATAGTGACTCAACAGTTATCTGCATTATTAGATGATCACCCTAACTAGTGTAGTTACTATCTGTCAACACAGGAAGGTGTTTATAGAATTATTGACTGTATGCTCAATGCTATACTTTCATCCCATGACTACTTTATATTATGATTGAGGTTTTGGCCTTTTTATTCCCTTCACCTATTTCACTCACCCGCCCCAGCCCCTCCCCCATGGTAACCACCAGTCACTTCTCAGTGTCTATAAATCTATTGCTGTTTTGTTTGTTTTTAGATTCTACTTATAAGTGAAATTATATGGCATTTGTCTTTTTTCACCTGGCATTTCTCCTCACTTAGCATAATACTGTCTAGGTCTATCCACGTTGCTGCAAATGACAAGGTTCTTTCTTTTTTTATGGCCAAATGATATTCCATTGTTTATATGTACCACATCTTTATTCATCTACTGATGGACACTTTAGTTGCTTTTTCCGTATCTTGGCTTTTGTAAATAACCTGCACTGTATTTTAAAAGGCAGAGCAATTTGGCAGGCATTTTACTTGCCGTCAGTATATGGAGGGCACACTTGTTTTACATCAGGCCCACTTCCTCCATACCCCTGTAGATGGGTGATTCAATTATACTTCTGAAAGGAAATTAAGTATAATTGAAAAAATAACAAAAATTTTAGGTACACTGTAAGTTAAGTAGGCTTTTGTAGATTGGCTTGGGTATTAATTGGCATTTATAGACTTTTTTTTGCCCGTAGAGATATGTGTTGCAAGTTCCAAATAACAAACTTATGGATAAATTTTATAAAAACAACAACATGATCATGGAGTGGAGCCAGCTAGCCTTTACTGTAAGATGTGCCTTGAACAAGCCCTGGTGGCTTTTGTTGGGGGTGCTTCTTCTCAGGTATGATTCAGTTGTGTAAATA